CATCCTTAAATGACTGGGCCAAGTTCTTTAAGGGCATTTATTCTGCTTCATATAAATAATTGATCAGCCAAGTTAATTTACTTCTGCCTGACTTGGTCAGCCTTAATTAACTGCCCTGGAATAAAGACTGATTTTATTTGTTAGCTTGAAATCTTTCACAAACATGAAAAATAAAGGGCTTCATTTTGACACAAATTCTGCATCAGTGCTGTTCCTCAGATTGCTTATATCTGTACTGACAGCTCAGCATTTACATGTTTGCTAATAAGAATCTTAAGCAAACTTGCAGAGAACAAATGGATTCTCATGAAATTGGACATAGATTTGACCAGAGATTCTCCATGTCAGAAGTCAGAATTACACAACTAACTGGGAAGTTGTAGATTGTACACCATGTTGTTTCAAAGCCACTCATGGATTACTTGGGCACAAATAAAAGCAACATAATCAATAAGAACATCTATTCAACTTTGAACTGGAGTCCAAGGAGGCAAGCTCAGATATTTCAAGTAGGAAAGGGACAATATATACCCATAAATTCCACATTTTTGGAAACTTTTGCAAGTTTGTAAATTTTGAAAAGAAGAGAGTGAACTGCTACGACTGTGTGGCTGTAAACAGTAGAAATTATAGTTTAGGATTTTGTAGACTTCACCATTTTTACGAATCCCAAATGGGCCCCAGGGCAACAGGGCATTCTTCTGCCTTTTTCTCAAACATGCACCTGCCCAACACTAAGATTATTCAGGTCAGCTGGGTCTATCGCTTTATAGTTTTCTGCTGCTCTGCTATCAGCTCCAGTGGGTTAAATGACATAACAGAGAAAAGAAAGAGTAATATATGTCATCAATCATAACCTTCATCTGTGTGTGCTCCTGGGCCTCCATTACAGAGTGAGACCTATAAACACCTGGCCCGGTTCTAACCTGGTTTCCTAAACTCACTCAGGTTCTCATATTGTCATGTGTCAGTAGATTCTTTTCTTTGCATGGTCATAGAACTTCTGTAGTGACAAATCACAAAAATAGGTTGTAAACTATATGTTGTCACTGTTGTTGTAGTGATAGTACAACTCATACTACAACAAATCATTTGTCTTTTGGCACTTCAGGGGTTTTCTAATGTGACCTGTCTATAATATATATAGTTTTTAGCAATAAGAAAGCTGAGATGGATGCTCATAGGATTGAAATAACTTTGGGGAGTAACAGCACTTTTGGCCAGGGACAGGAGGGGTTATTAGTTAAAGGAGCCGTAGGTGCTGTAGGACAAAGAGGTAGCAAAGGTAGTGCCAGATCGGTAGAGAGGTTCTAGAACTCAGTGTAAATTGTACTGGATGTAATTTCTCTTATAGCTTGAGTTGTCTAAATTATTCAGTCTGTATATCTCAATATTCCTCTAACTATTGTCCTCTAAATGAGTTGGACTGCACCTCCATCACTTCAGAATGATAGGTCTTTGGTTTGGCACATCTAGTGGACATCACGTATGAGAAAGCTAACATAGCTCATGGAAGTGCCATTGTCAAAATGTGAAATAGTATGTATATAGAGTGTTGAAATAATTAAGGAGGGTACAGTATTAAGAAAAAGACCTGAAAATGAAAGTGCTTTCAAAATTGAAGCTTGAACAATAGTTTACTCTAGTAATGACTAAACAGTTAACCAGCTCTCCATCTGAGCAAGGTCACTCTACAATAATAATCCTGACAGTGGAACAAGTTTAACAAATGATAACAAAACATAAACAAAGATGCAAGACTTATAATATGCACTCTTTGTAGTTCCAGTATCTTGGAGCTGTAATATTCTTTCATTGGAAAATTCTGCATTTTCAGGATTCTGGAATTCCAGATCTCTTATGGTTCAGGTTCTGTAAATCTTTTAGTCATAATGATGATGTTATTATCGTAATGGCTGCCTGCTAGATTCTAAGCTACAAAACTTTGGATTTAGAGTAGGTGGAGGGATGATAACATTTCCTTTTGAAAATGTTTTCTTACAGTTCCAGGCCCCTGGAGAAATAGATTGTTTACAGACCAAGGATAGGTATGAACAACTGAAAGAATTATAGATACCTCTCTCTCTCTCTCTCTCTCTCTCTCTCTCTCTCACACACACACACACACACACACACACACACACACACACACACACACACACACACACATTCTTCATCACATCACTGCAACTCCACACCACATAGGTTACCAGACATCAAAGAGCAACAGTCATATAGCAGTGCAAGAATAGACTTCGTTTCCAAAAGCCAACAACACAATCTACTGGTTGAACATTTAGAATGATTTGTGCCTGAGCATTTTTAATATACCTGAAGGCCAAAGATTATTTAAAGTTACAATGCTTTTTTACTTTTAAATTTTGTTTTTTTTGGAGATGTATTCTCAGTTTTTAAAAGTCTTTTTAAGCTATGTAATTGAAACATTGTTCTTTTTTACTTTTCAAACATGTTATGACTGTATTTTGGATTAAATTTTGACAAAAGTATTTTCCTGCAATTTAAGTCTATTCCCCCCCCCCAATAATTGTCTACAGTTTTTCATAGCTCTAAGACTTTTGAATGTTTTGAATATTTGAGATTTTATTTTGTGCTTATTGAACATAGAATCAATGTAGCAGTGTAAATAAAGCTAGAATAAGACGAGCTGATATCTGTGAAGAGTCTCAGTCATCCAGGTAAGGTTATCTGGAAGTTGAGTCATGGCAACGGGACTTCTTTCTTACTGGGTTGAAAATGTTTTGCTACTCATCTAAGTAGCTTTTTAAGTCTGAATAGAGTTGATAGGAGACCCCTGATATATTCTCCGTAGTAGTTTCACTTCCCTGTATTCTGAATAGGCTTGTTAGATGGACAATGAGTGGAGACGGACTGCAGAGGTGGGATTTTCACTAACCCCCAGTCCTGTGTCCTTCTAAGGAGCCTATTCAGACCATGGGGAAGTGAAATTAGCTTGGAGGACATATGAGGGGCTCTCCTCAGACTGAAGAAGCTACTTGTATGAATAGTGAAACGTTTCAACCTAATAAGAAGGAGGTCCAGTTGCCATGACTCAACTTCCAAGACAAGCTGATTTTGCCTGGCATTACTGAAAAATGATAATACTTATACCTTGATACTGAGATGAATATTGATACGATTAGACATGATCAGTTCATTTCATTCTGGAATTAACCCTTAATTGGGATAAATGCCAGCTGTGATGAACACAGGCTTCTGATTTTCCCCTGGATGTATTTAAAGTCCGGTGTGGCCCTTAGGGCCATGTTCGAGTGTCAGAATCATGAACTTGAAACCATGATTATCTTTTCTACTCATAACTTGAAATGGGCTGCTACTAGAGATGGGCATGAACCTCAGAAATGATGGTTCATGGTTTGCCTCAAACCACCATGAACCAACCAGAAAACTGAATGGTGAACCAATTTGGTTTTTTGTTTGTCTCCAATGGAGAAGGGGATTATCTGCTCCTGTTGCCCTACCATGGGGCAGATCTATAGAGCCTGTGTCCTGAGCACACTCCTATATTGCAGTGAGTCCTGGACCCTTTGTGCACGGCAGGAGAGGAAGCTGAACACCTTTCATATGTGTTGCCTCCGATGCATTTTTGGTATCACCTGGCAGGACAAAGTTCCAAATAGAGTAGTCCCAGAACAAGCTGGAATTTTTAGCATTACATTACTGAAAGGGCTACAACATCAATGTTGGCTCGGGCATGTCGTGAGAATGGCTGATGGTCGGGTTCCAGAAGATCTCCTGTATGGAGAATTAGTGCAGGGAAAGCGCCCCAGAAGGAGACTACAGCTGCAATGCAAGGATATCTGCAAGCGGGATCTGAAGGCCTTAGGAATGGACCTCAACAGATGGTAAAATTTGACATCTGAGCATTCAGCCTGGAGGCAGGCGGTGCATCATGGCCTCTCCCAATTTGAAGAGTCCCTTGTCCAGCAGGCCAAGGCAAAGATGCAGTCCCAAAACCAGCAAACTCAGGGACCTGGACAGGGGACAGGTTGTATTTGTCTTCAGTGTGGAAGGGATTGTCATTCTCAAATTGGCCTTCTCAGCCACACTAAATGCTGTTCCAAGTCCTCTATTCAGAACATGTTACCATAGT